AGCTCCCAGAGTTACCATGTGAATGCTGAAATGCAACTCTTCTAGCAGTCCTCGGGGTTGATCATGCCTGTAGGCAACACTGGCCCAATCAGCAGCTTCTCTTTGAGGGGAGTTGAATCAACCAGCTGCCCCCAGGAATATCACACAGGCCTGAGAAACCAACCCTACTTGGTGGCTTCAGGGCAACAGGACAGCAAGGCAGAGGTCAACTTCAGGCCCTGTAGTGGCTAAGGAGCACTGGCCTGGTCCCAGACCACCCTTCAGACACCGTGAGCAGCATTTATGCTCCCAGACCAAGTAGGGGGTACAGCTAGGTGGAGGTCTGCAAGAAGAAATGTCCAGACCACTCTGTGGGCATGAGCCTCAGGCCCCATGCCAAAGCCCACGACTGCCAGCCACCATGGCCCTGCTCCAACACCAATGTCCCTGCTGGCACCATATCCAGCCCTGGCCCACATCTCAGCCCTCTCACCCTCCCTCCAACACAGTAAGTGGTTCCCAGCAGTACAGGGCACTGCCTCTTCCTTCCTTCCTTCCTTCCTGCCTTCCTTCCTTCCTTCCTTCCTTCCTTCCTTCCTTCCTTCTTTTGTCTCTCTCTCTCTTTTCTTTAATTTTTGAGGTACTGGGGCCATGTTCCAGTCCTTTTGCTGTTCATTATTTTTCAGATAGGGTCTCATGCTTTTGCTGGGCTGTTGGTAGTCTGTGATACAGCTACCTTAGTCTCCCACATAGCTGAGATGACAGTACACCATCAGGTCTGGCTTACTGCTTCTCTCTATATGAGCCCAGCAGCCCCTCAGCTGGGTCTCAGACTGTGGTAGACACCCTGAGCCTAGGTGGCACCCAGCTCCACACTACTACTCTTCACATTTTCCACAAGAGATCCAGGAATCCTCCTGATCCCACTTCTCCCTCCTGCTTGGTTAGCACAGGCCTGGGGAGATCCGTCCTCAAGAGCTCTTGCCTCATCTGACCCCTGCCCTGCTCTCAGCCTGGCCCATCTGTGTGTCCCCAGCATGACTGGTAGCCTTGAGTCTCAGCTGGACTCAGCTTCCAGCTGCCCATGCACATTGCCCTAGAGGTCTCATGAGGCCACACCTAACCTTGACTCCATGTCCAGCCCTTCAGCCAACCCCTTGAGTCCACCTTCAAGAACAGCCAGAGATCCCTCGGTTCCTCAGGCTTCCCAGATCCAGCCTCCCCAACCATCCTGATTCACACAGCAGCCTCCCTTCTGGCCCTACAGACTACATCCACATGGAAGCCTGAGAAATCCACCACCAGAAAGAGGCTGGCATCTTCACAGTGGCCTGATGGTTCTGTGACCTGAGCCTCGCCTTGTTGACCTCATCATCCCTCAAGCACAGGAACCTCTCACAACTCCTCCAACACCACGTAAAATTATGCCTTGGGACATTTGCACCTGCTTCCCCCTCTGCCTGTGAGGCTTTTAGCCATTTTTCTGTGGAAAACCCTCTCTGCCTCATCACCACAGAGCTGAGATCCCCTATGCACAGATAGCCAGCCTAGGAGAGATAGCCTTTTGTCCCCATGTTCCAGGTCAGATGGGTAGAGAAGGGTCCACAAAGTCCGAGAGCCACTTGAGAGTGTCCCACTCCACCACATCACCAACATGGTCCCCAAAAGAACATGCCCAGAAGGACAAGACTAAAGAAGCCAGAGCAGGAAGGAAAACAGTGCATATACAATTCTATAAAATTATAAACATGGCAGAGCTTCCTGGCACCCAGAGCAAAAGTGAAACCACACACAAAATCCTCTAGGTAGAAGAAGCATTCCTGGTACATAAGCTTTTGTCCCCAGCAAAGGACCAGGACCATGGCTACAAGCACCCCTGTGACAGAAGAGGACCAGTCTCCCAGTACCTTGAGGGAAGCCCTGTTTGCAGCCTCCCTCCTGGGCCCACCTGGCCCAGGGCTTACCATCCAGAGTGGCTCCTGAGCTCTGTCTCAGGTCTGCATGATGACCATGATGAATACTGCAGGCATGAGAGGGGTGCTGAGAGGAGGCCAGTAAGGTGCTTGATGCAAAATCGTTATTCAACAACAATCTTTTGAGGGACAACGTGGTTTTCAGTTTTTTGTTTTGGTAGTACTGGGGTTTGAACTCATGGCCTGGTGCTTGCTAGACTGGTGCTCTACCACTGACCCATGCCTAGTTTTACTTTAGTAAACTGTGTCTTGATCACTTCAAAGTCTCCTTTAGCTCACTGCAGGTGATCTTCCCCCCCCCACACACACCGGACATTAACACCCAAACTCAGAAATATTATTCTCAATCTCCTGTTTTCTTCTTGCTTGTATACTAGTCAGAATGATAATGACTATAATACAATAGTCTAGGTTACATATCAGTGAAAGAATATTGGAGCTCTGGATACAGAATGGAGCTGCATATCGAAGATGTTCATGTCATACTCGAGGGATAGTATTTCCTACAGGATACAGTGAACAGTGACAAAAAAGCAGGCCAGTCATATTAATAGGGCATTAAACTTTGGTAAATAAATTGGATTGAAAACTGCAGGAAAAAGCAGGAGAATCTTAGTTTTTATGTCTTCTGGCAGTGTAGAAGATTGACAAGAACACTATTTTTTTCTTTTTCAAATTTGACCCCGTATTTCTATAGACACAGGTATTATTGGAACATACTAAAGAAAAATCTGGATTTTCTTCTCTGGAGACCACTGAGTGGCGTTCTTTAATAGGAGGAAAGATGATAACCAGCAGTATTTCTGTTGCATTGGAGAGGGAGGGCAGATGGAAAGATTTCAGGGATAGCATGGGAGATGTTCCTTCCTCTATGATACCTGCACACTAGGGGAAGATTTCTCTGATTAATTCTGGCAAATGACATTTGTGGGGGCTCTGTTCCCCCCAAGCTATCCAGTGTATTAGACATACGTTCATTTGTGTGCCTACTATGTCGCCAGTTTCTTTAAGGCAAGGATCCTGTCTTTTCATCTTTGTGTTCCTAGAGTCTTCCAATTAATATAGAGGCTAGACAGGGAGTTAGAGAACTGGATGCCTTAGAACTAAGGCTTGGGTGATAAAGAATCACATCCTAGATTGATATATTAGAAAAATGGCTTGTGATAAACAGCAGTGTCTTGCTGACCTGAAGCCCCTGGAGCCCACAGTTAATAACAGCCTCCACCTGACCACAAGCCCTCACCCCATCCCACCGACTTCTGGGAGGAATCACTGACACATTGCCCAGTGTCTGAGAGTTAAGGACACAAAACCCAGCTTCGCAGGACTGACCACCCCCATTTCTGCAGACCTCAATAAAGGCTTGAGGTCTCACGACCTCCGCCACAGCATTCCTTGAGTCTGCCCACCTTCTTGCCAGAGGGTGCACTTTTGCTTTGCTTTCCCTTTGCTTTGCATTACTGAATCTTTCCTTCTCATACCTCTTTGCCTTGGTAAAATTTTTTTTCCCCACAAACCCAGGCACCGAAATCCCTGACACCTGTACTGGGACCCAGACATCCATGACATGCAAAATGGTAGCGTGTGTAGTTGTTGAACCAGTGGAAAATGGGCATTCATAAAGAACAAGATTACAGGCTATCTCACAGTAAAAGCACTAGCATTAAAGGCTCAGTGATAATTATTAAGATAATACTGATTACATTCAACCTACACTTTCTAGTAATTTACTTTTAAAACTCTTTATTGAGATGTTAAGTAAGCCTACGGCTACAGAATTAGCTTCTAAATTCTTTCTCCCCCGCCTCCCTTAGGTGAGTTTATCCAGTGTCTCGGTGCCCATGAGTGTTCTACGAAGGCATTAGCTAAGACCTAGAACATATGATGTATTAGCTTCCATATTTAATTTGATGGTGATTGCGAATCAGATTCAAGTCCTTAAACCCCAGCTGTACTCCAGGAGTTGGGGAACAAAATCGCCACCCCCCTCCTAGTTCCGGGCGGAACCGGGAGTGTGTTACCACGAAGCGATTGCTTTTGCCTGGCGGAGGCTTATCGGGAGAGGACCAGGCTCCATACAGCGGTGGGAAGGTAAGTCAAGAACGTGTCAGTGTGGAAGGGAGCCGGGGCCGCTTAGATTTAGGAGGCCGCGCTTCGTCGGCTTGGAGGAGCGTCTACTTCAGTCATGGTGGCACCCGCGGTGCTGCGCGCTTTGCGCAAGAACAAGACTCTCCGCTACGGAGTCCCCATGTTGGTGAGTGGGGCGGGCGGTCATGGGGGGAAGAAGCAGGTGACAGGGCCCCGGGCCAGGAAAGGGCTGGGGCACGTGGAGCGCTTTGGGTGGCGGTTCTTCTGCTTGCCCCGCCCCTGTCCGTGGTAGCCCGACAGCGTCCCCGTCGTGAACGCGGTTTTGTTTCCGTCCCCATTTCATAGTTAAGTAAACGGAATCTCAGAGAATGATCTCGCCAGAGTTTAACTCAATCCGGACGGTTACTAAGCATGCTAAGCAATCCTAAGGTTTTGTGCTGAACCCAGTAAGATTGTATGAATAATGTCTAGCACGGCTTCTGCCATCACGTGGTCGCTGTGTTATGGTTTATATTTATTTCTAAGGCGCTGTTTTAGACCTAGCTTTGGTGTTTATCCGTCACATCGAGTTCTACACTGAGATCCCGATAAATGTCATGAGGACACAGGTTGAGGCTGACATGAGACCAACCTAAGTTAGGATCCAGATAGTTACTTTTTTTTTTTTTTTTTTTTTGCTGTTTGACCATGGACAAGTTATTTTGCTTCACAAGCGTCCATTCCATTCGTAGTGAATGAAATAAAGCATATGAAGAAAAGGTGATTTTCAAAATACAGAACAGCTGGCTACTTTGGTGTGAATATTGGCACAGGTGAAGTTGCCAACTTTTGCAGTTTAGCAATATTAAAGGAAAGGAGTGACCTTGGAAAAGTAATAGGCTTTTAATTCGTCTTTGATGAATCTGAGTTTTTTGCATCTTTAGGAAACTCCGTAGTATGTTTTTAAAGAGTTTAAAGATAGGTGTTTATCTTTATAGCTAGAGTAATCGTATTTGTATAGATGATAGGGCATGTGTGAAAACTGTCCTCTGCAGATTCCTCTGCCATTCAAAAGCTTTGTGATTTTAATCACGGACCTGTAATCATCATCATGTCATTATAGAAGCCAGTTTGATTTTCTCAGCTTTCAAAATGATCAAACCCAAGATCTTAAAAGCTCTAAATACCAAAGTACCCATTAGGGTTTTCTTCCTTTGTTTTAGTTCATCAACTGGAAAGTACATCAGTAGTCTTCTTCCCAGTATGTTACACTAAATTGCTCCTTATGTGTATACTGTTCCCAGGGGACCATGTTTCTCAGTATTGACCCTATACATGCAAATAATTTTGTAGAGGAAAATGCTGTATTCAGTACTCTAAAATCCAACACAATGGAAAGAACTCAAAAGATATATGCTCTTAGTCATGTGTCAGATATGTCATAATCACTGTGCTACATTTATGTTCAAGCTGATGCCATTTTCTCTCTTGGATAAATAGTAATGCTTCACAGGAATCTTTATTCAACCCTATACAGAAGAGAACTTGGAATGCCAGGTATATGCTAAAAATACTCTGCTGTTTCTCCCAAACTTGAAAAGAGACTATATTTGTTGTGTCAACTTCCATACTGCATGTTTAGTTCCCAAGATTTACCTTTCTAATCCAACCAGTGACCTGCCGGTTCCTCCACATTTAAAGTGTTCAGTTCCATTGTTTTTAGTGTATTCTCAGATGTAGCCATCTAATTTTAAAACATACTTACTCTAAAAGAAACATCATCAGACTCCACATTCTCTACCCTTATCCAACTTCAAGCAATCTATTTTTTTCCATAAACTTACTTACTCTGGGTATTTCATATTAACAGAATAATATAACGTGGGCTTCTATGACTGATTCTTTTAAACTTTGAATAATATTTTTCAAGGTTTATTCATGATATATATCAATACTTCCTTTTTTATGGCTATACAATATTCTAGTGTTTGGATATATATATAATTTTGCTTATGCAGTAATTGAGTTATTTCCATTGTTTGGCTATTATAAATAATGCTACTATGTATATTCATGTACAAGTATTTTGTGAAAGCATGTTTTTATTTCTCTTGAGTAGATACCTAGGAGTAGGATTTCAGAGTCATACAACTCCATGCTGACCTTTTTGAGGAACTGTCAAACTGTTTTCCAAAGTAGCTGCATCATTTTGCATTCTTCATCGCTAGTGTCTGAGGTTTCCAATTTCTCTACATCCTGTTGTCACTTTTGTCCATCTTTTTTATTATTATCCTTTCTGGTGAGTGAAGTGGTGTCTTATTTTGTTTTTCATTTCCCTAATGTCTGATGATTTGTATCTTCTCAAATATTTGTTGGTTATCTGTATATCTACTTTGGAGAAGATATGTGTTTAAATCCTTTGTCCATATTTTAATTAGACTATTTTTCCTTAATTTAGACAGAGGTTTCTTTAAAAACCTGAGCCAGTGAGAGTTTGGGGCCTTCTTAGGTCTGTCCTGAGTGTACACATTGCTCCGGATATGGGCACAGTTCTATTCATATATATGACTTTTCTAAATTCCAATGAGTCTTTGAAGCTGCAGTGTCAAATAGGAATGCTGGTTTTCAGTTCAAAGTACTGTTTCTCATTGAAAATATACACTTTGAGGTTTTAAGTTACATAGGCTATTTAAATTAGCAGAACCAAATGACATCACCTAGGGGCTGGATGTTGTTTGAGAATAGATAGAAGAGGTGTAAAAACTGAGATTTTGGGGTACTTCAACATTGGTATGGTGAGGAATAATGAGTAAAAAGAGACTGAGAAGAGGTAGGAAAACAGGGGTGTGTCTTTTCATTGAAATTAAGAGGCAAAAGTAACTTATAGAATGAATTATCAGTATTGATATTACAGGTGTTAGCTGTTTATATATAACAAATACTTTTCCCAATTTGTGGTCTTTTGAATTGATGTTTTGTTAATTTATCAGAATAGAAGTTTAAAATTTTTTTCCTGTGGTCACATTGTTTTAATACTCATAGCCTCAAGGTTTTGTTGGTATTCTAAATTTCAAAATTATGAGTTTATATTTTATAATGTTTTATGTTCTTCAATCAGTGACATAAAGATATTGATAGAAAGAGGAAGATAGGGATCAAACTTTATTTTTTTCAAAATGACTAGACTTTCACACCTTTAGGATGTGGAATTAAAGCCAATTAGGTTTTTGGAGAAGATGGATGGTAAAGCAGCAGTGACAATTTAGGAGCTCTTTTAAGGTTTTCCACATACTGAGGAGTGTGTCTTATTTCAAGACATTCTTTTATATCTGATAAGAAAATGAGGACAGTGTTGGCCAGTTCACTAATTTTGCAAAATCATGAAACTAAAAGAATTCTGGTCTTAAAGAAACAAGGCCAGAGATTAATTCCTGGGTTTACCTCTGTAGTTATGGTGTTAAAAGAAAAACTCCAAAGGAAATAAAATTTTCAGAGTTCAAGCAAAGAAGGTTCATGAATCAAGTGGCACTTTGAACTAGAAGAGGTTTAGAGAGTTCCCTTCTGCCATAGTGGCAGTAAGTATTTATAGACACAACAGGAAATGAAGTACAGAAAGTTTGATTATTTACAGCTAGGCATTTGCCTTTTTTGAACACAGTCTTCTCAGTTAGCTGATCGGGTTTCTATTTGTTTACCTATTAAGTTAGGTGACATAGGAACTCTAGCCTTAGAGTTAACTTAAATTTAAGTTAACAATGGGCTAGTCACTTAGTTGGGTGAGCTTTTATTTCCTCGTCTATGAAATGGTTTTGTTTTGTTTTCTTTTTATTTCCCCCTTAGCTGATAGCTCAGTTGTACATGCTTGTCACAATGTCATTTAAAGCATAGATCAAGTACAAGTACAGGGTGCTGATTTTGGTATTTGGTAATGATGTATTATAGTTTTTCCAAAATAATACAATAGCCTCTTTTATCCAAGGTTTCACTTTCTGTGGTTTTGCACTGAACTGTTGTCTGAAAAATTAAATGGAAAATTCTAAAAATAAACAATTCATAAGTTTTAATCAACATTTATTATAGTATATTGTTATAATTGTTCTATTTTATTTCAGTTATTAGTAATTGGTTACTGTGCCTAATTTTTAAATTAAATTTCATCACAGTTATGTATGTATTGGGAAAACATAGTACATGTAGTGTCAGTATGTTCCGAGATTTCAGGAATTGGTGAAATGTCTTAGAAGGTGACCCTTACTGTGTCTACTCTGAAAAGATGAATGATAACTCACCAGGAAAAATAACCTGTAGGATGTTGTATAGTCTCCCTCAGTTGTTGCTTAGTTAAGTATAAAAAGACTGATTTCTGCCCTTCTATTTTGTGTAATTGTTTCCTTTGTTTCAGTTGCTGATTGTTGGAGGTTCTTTTGGTCTTCGTGAGTTTTCACAAATCCGCTATGATGCTGTGAAGGTTAAAGTAAGTATAATTGGAGTTTGACTTGTATGTGATATGTGTTTTAGTTTAGAAGAATATATTCAGTATACTTAGCAGTATAAATTTGTCTTGCTTTTCAAATCTGATAAACAATCTTTGCACTTTTATTATTTAAAATGCCATTAATGACCACATGAAAGTGAAACACGTAATGTAAAGAATTCAGTAATCTTTCGGCTTATTCACTAGGTTTACAATATTGTTTGCAAATACTCTCTTGTGTAGTTGTTAGAATTCATAGGAACATGAGTCAACAATTTTACTTCACTTTTTTCTCCAATTATAAATCACCTTTTTTTTTTCTTTTTTGTTACTGAGGTTTGAACTCATGGCCTAATGCTTGCTAGGCAGGCAACTCTGCCACCTCAACTACAACCCCAGCCCACTATTTCATTTTAATACCAGTAATTTTATAAAATGATTTGTATCTTAATAATTGATACTTCCTTTTAAAGAAGGAAAATTATTTTTATTTATAAATGAAGATATCTATCTTTTTATGGTGTCTGCTTTGTGGTAGGACTGTACTACTTTCTTCATTTTATATCTGAGGAAAGTGAAGCTCAGTAAGCTTGAGTACCTTGCCTGTAGTCATGTGGCTACTCCTGAGGAGAGCTAAGATTCTCACCTGCTATGATTGCCCCTTTACTGTCAAGTTCATGCCAAGAGTTACATAAGAACTCTGGTTCATTCATTGAGAAGAATATAATTTCTATTTGTGGCACATATCTGATATTTGAAGGTTTTTTCCCAAGTAAAATCTGTATATCATCAGCAGACCTCAGTAATATTGGTGGAAAGTAAAGCTCACAAAGATTATTCAATTTTCTTAATTTTGTGGCTGCAGACAAGCCAACTACAGCTAGTCCTAAAGAGAGGTAGGAATTAAGAGTAAATACTACATTTAAAACTAATATGTAGCTTTTATGAGGGTATAGAAAAAATTTTAGTTAAGTGAACAATTTTGGTTAGTTAATTTTCAGTCAACTAATTATTGTCAATTTAATTGTGTTAAAAAGTTTTGGTTAACATCCCACTTACTTTATCAAGGAATTTTTTTCACTTTTCCATTAACATGAAAGTTTTAGTAATCTGATTTTTGGATGTAGAAGATCATATATGTATTTGGAAAAGAATTAAATATTTATTATATGTTAATTATTTGTTAGGTCCTACAGATAAGTGTAAAGAAACTAGTTCTTTTAAAGTTTATAGTGTACCAGTAAGCCTGCCTTATTTGTGGATTTATTACATATGGCTTTGACAAAGCATGGTCAAAAAATAAACAAGTAAATACATAAAAAAATCAAAAGTAATTTCAAAACCAAAAAATTTAAATTCCTGTCTGTGCATTACACAGCTCAGTTGATACAGAGAAGCTCTCAGTCAGCCCCACCTTATCATCAGCTGTGTTTAAATCATTGCGTGACCTGCTGAGTGCTTCCCCGACCTTTATTAATGCCTCCCCAAAAGCAAATGGTGCCCAGAAAAGCAAGGTAAAAGTTACGGTAATCCTCTAAAGCAAAAAAGGGCACGTAAAGTGCTTAATTTCAGTGATAAAGGGAAAATTTTAGATTTGTTGAAAAGCTGCAGAAGTTGGGTGGTGTTATGGGAAAAATGACTCGGGCATCCACAATATTTGAAATAAAGAACTTGAAATGACATCTAGTTTTGGATGAGCAACATTAATGTGTACAACAGTAATTTTTGTAACAGTAATGTAGCCTACTCCTTGAGGTTTCAATTTATGGATACTCAGACCTACTGTATATCTAGTATAAACATATATTCCTTTGTAGAGTTACTGAACTTTACGCATCTTGAGCATCCATGGTTTTACCTCAGTAGCATTCTTATTGAAATGCGCAGATACCTAAGGTCTACTATAATCGAGGCTTGAAGACATCTCGTACTTTTCTTTGTGTAGTAGAATTTCATATAAAACATTACTAGAATTTTAAGAAGAGGCATACAGTTTAGACTTGAAAAGGGGGCATTTAAAAAAGTTTATTTAAGGTATCAACCCTTGAATTTGGCTTTAAGAATGAGTATGAGTTTAAACCAGGCACCAGTGGCTCACACCTGTAAGCCTAGCTACTTAGGCTGAGACCAGGAGGATCACAGTTTGAGGCCAGCCTGGGTAAACAGTTTTTAAGACCCCCCCCCCCAACTCCAAAATAACCAGAGCAAAATGGACTTGAGGTGTTGCTCAAGGGATGGAAAGTCAGCTTTGCAAGCGAGAAGCCCTGAGTTCAAGCTCCAGTCCCACTTAAAAAAAAAATAGAGGTATGACTAAGTAGTAGAGGTGATTTATGTTCCTTAAGGTAAAGGGCACATGCTGAGATACTCATTTTAGAAGTGTCTCTCTTGCAGTAGAGTACAGGATGGATAGGGATTGGAGGAACAAGATAGAAGGGAAGAGATTGTTCAGATTGGAAGTAGAGAAACCTGTTAGGAGTCTGTTAGTAACTTTCATTGCTATGACAGTATACCTGAGATAAACAACTTAAAAGGAGGAAATGTTTATTTTGGCACCAGTTTCAGAGGTTTCAGCCCATGGTCAGCTGACTCTCATTGCTTTTCAGCCTATGACAAGGCAGAGCATCATGACGGGGAGCACATGGTGGAGCAAAGCAGCTCATTACCTTGGGTAGGAAGAAAAAAAGAGAGAGGAAGGGGCTTCAAGGGCACAGCCCCAGTGGCCCACTTTAACTACAGTAGTTCTCATAACCTCCCAGTAGCCCATTAAACTATGAATCCATGAATGGATGAATCCATTGATCAGGTCAGAGCCCTCATGATCCAATCACATCCCAAAGACCCTACCTCTGCATACTGCAGAGCCTTTAGTATATGAGCTTTTGGGGAACATTTCGGATCCAAACCATAATAGACTCTGTGATAGTAGAATAGATGAAGAATAATAGAACATGAAGTAAAGTATTGCAGTAACAATAAAGAGAAATGAATGGGTTCCAGAAAAAAAAATTAGCAGCAAATTAATAGTATTTGATGAGCACTGTAATATATGTCATATAAAAATATGAATAATGCTAAAATGTTTCAATTTTGGTTTTGAGGACTGGATAAATCATGGTGCTAACCACCCAGTTAAGGAAAGAGAATGCAGAAGGTTGAGATAACAGGAAGTCTAGAAGGTGGGAACAATGTAAAGAGATTTTAAGTAAGGCCAAGAGAATAAGATTTTTTTGAAGTTGATAGGATAAAGTCAGTTGAAGTCAATAGAATAGGTAAAAGAATGCGGTCAGGCTGTCTATATGAGGAGAGTAAGAGGACAAGGTTGAGTTAAGAGAGATAAGAGGAGAGGCCTACTGAGATTGAGAAGTTGGGGTAAAATTCAGGTGAAGTCAAGATCGAATTCAAACAAGGTAGTAAGGGTGAGGCTGTTGAGAGGAACTAAGAGGATGGATGAGTTTGGTCTTTAAGATATTAAGATTAGTTTGAGATTGACTGCAATTGCAAAGGTTGAGAAGTTGAGATCAAGGGGCTATGGTTAAGAGGGCAAGATTGCTGGAATCAAACTAAGTTGATACTGTAGCCTAGAAGACAAAGTTGGTTGAGAAGGACTAAGGGAGGATGAGTTCAGTTGAGGACTCTGGAGAAAGGTAGAGAAAAGACTATTGATTTAGCCATTGTAATTTGCCTGAGACTGTCCTGATTTTCATATTGAAAGTTCGGTATTCTATGACACAAAGATCCCTGCTTTTCTGTAATGGATGTGGAAAGTTGCCAGAAAGCAAGACCCACAAGGAGCTTTAAAAAGTAAGAGCTGAAAGCAGCTGCCTTTAATTTTTTTGTGTGACACATATATGGCATAGTTTATCTGCTCTTTTTATTCTTGGATGCTGATGCTAACAACCATAATCTATAATAATGGATCATTGTTATGTCACACCAAGTAATGTGATTTAAGTACGCAATTTAAGTATAGTGTACTCATGATTGCACTCATGACTTGTGCTTTGTAGCAAGATAGTGCAAATTTTTTTTAAATTAAAAAAAATTTTTTTTCCAGTATGTGGGATTGAACTTGGCTTAGGTGCTTGCTAGATAAGCGCTCTACTACTTGAGGCATGCCTCAAGTCCTTTTGCTTTTAGTTTTTTTTCCAGATAGGGCTTTTCACTAACTGCCTAGCTGTCCTCCAATTGTAATCCTCCTACCCCTACCTCCCAAGCAGATGGGATCACAGGCATGTACCACCACGCCAGGCTATAATTTTTTTAACATAAATATTGTGACCATATATTGTGTTCTAAGATTCAGGTAGTGAAAATGAGAACAATTATAATACCAATGCTACTATGATCCGGACATCACTGAAAAAGCTAAATAAAACTTACTTTAATGACAGGTGAAAAGGGCACATACAACTGGATTAGGGAGCTAAGTAAGACAATATTTTGCACAATATGCAAAAAAGCAATTGAAATTGGGCATATTGGAGATAGGTATGGGAACACATATAAGGACTGAACCGCACATGTCCAGGATCAGACAGGCAAGTACTTATAAATCAATCATAACTTTGTTCATTTCTTCCCCAAACACCAATACTCAGTCTAAGTTAGCAGATGCTGAGCTAGCTTGTGCAGACCATGCTAACAAGAATGTTCATTGTATTATTCCCCTGGGTAATCTATGAAACTGAGTAAAATTACGTTTTTCTGTTTCAGAAGTTAGGACTAAAGTGTCCTATGAGTGAACAAAGAGGATATTCTGATACCAAATCTTTTGACTTCCAATAGTAAATAGCTGATTCTGTTAAATCCTACCAAATATTGTGCTTTCTGTTGTATATTGAGTGATAAATTGAATCATGGGAATAAGAAGTATTTACCTTATCTCTTAGGTACGCTAAGATTTGGGGAAAAAAAAGGAGTTTCTTCTGATTTCTTTGAAGATTTTAGATGAAACTGCAGATAACATAAAAAAATTGTTCATGTCTTGTAAAATGTTGCTTGCTCTTACCTAATTTTTTTCCTGCTTCCTTACAGGATTTCATTCAGATGTATATTAGACTATTTAACTATGTCTGACTTTTTTGTTTTATTTCCTTTTTCCTTTCTATGTTTTAATTTGTATGTTTTTCTACTGTTTTATCTTCTAGTTATTAAATTTGTCTTTCGCTATACTCAGCCTCTTACTAAACCCATGTTTTGATTTTGTGATTTGTTATACCTTTTACTTTTCAACTGCTCATTTAATTATTCATTATATATTTTTGTACTTTAGAGAAATCTTCCATGTCATATTGTTATTCATTTTTTTCTTTATTCCTTGAACATATATAAGTTATAATTACTTTGGTTCACAATTTTTTTGGTGGTACTGGGATTTGAATTCAGGCCTCACGCTTGCTAGGCAGGTGCTCTATCACTTGAACCACTCCACCAGCCCTAAATTATAGTTACTGTAAAGTACTGTCTCCAATATTATAGTCAACTTTTGTCTAAATTCTTTCTTTTGGTCTATAATTATGTCTTTTAACATGTTTCATAATTTGTAAAATTATGTATTGGATGTTATTTGTAAATAATGGTAGAGGCTTCGCATGGTATTATTTTCCTCCAAAAGGGGGTATCTTTGGTGCTTTAATTTTTTTTTTTTTTTGCTAGGCAAATAGAGTGGGGTCTGATCCCTTTTAATATCTGGGAGAGACCCAAGTCATGGCTTGGTTGTAGTTTAAGTAAAAATTAGTTTATATTGGAGTCGTGGCTCAAGTGATAGAGCACTTACCTAGCAAGTGCTGGATCCTGAGTTCAAACCCCAGTAGCACAAAAACAACTTAGTTTCTTTCTGCTTCTTCCTTATTCCTAGGGCGTAGCCCTACATCACTTTCAAATAAGACTCCAGGAAATTCAGCTCTACTTTTCAGAGATTTTTCAGCTTAGTTGTATACGCTTATCTTACCTAGTTCAGAATTTAGGAACTGCTTTGAGGAAGATCCCTGTCGTGTCCTTTGATCTCTGTTTTTTGTCATTATAGCCCTCTATGATGATGTCTTTAAGCCCATCTAAACTAGCTTCAGGCCTTGGTTCTTTTTAAAAATTATTATTAGAGTATATTAATTGTACAAACTAATAGATTTCAATTTGACATTTCCATACGTGCATATAATATACTTCAATCATATCTGTCCCATTACTGTTTCTTACCCCCTCCTCCTTCCCTTATCCCTTCATGTTCCTAAAACTGCTCTCCTTTTACTTTCTTGTTCTTATTTTCTTAAATTCCACATGTAAGAGGAAAGCATGTGATACTTTTCTTTGTGAGACTAAGCCTTGGTTCTTACTAGTAGCTGTACCAGGCTTGGCATGTGTACCCAAGGGGAAAAATGTGCTTCCAACTCCAATTCTTAGCTCTTGTGGAATCATCCTTCTAATGGGTCTTTCTCTCTTGAACCCCAGGAGACTGTCAGGGGGTTTTTGGTCAGCTTTTTTTTTTGTTTTGTAAATTACTCTGACATCATTGGACATGTTTTTAATCTTATTTCATACAGAAAATAAAGGCACAGGAAGATAGTTTATCAAAATGTTATACAATAGAGCATTATCTTAGGTAAAGTTTTGACTTTTTAAAATTTTATCATTTTTACATTTACTTACGTGTGTATACATTATGTGGACCACCTCTCCTACCCTGCTCCCCTGCTGCCTCTGGTACCGCTCTCTTGTTCTTTAATTTTGTTGAAGAAAAAAACATATAAGATAAAAAGAAAAACATAGCGTTTTTGTAAGTTTGAGATAAGGATAGCTATACAGGGAGATTCCTTGTGTTTCCATGCATATGTGTTTTACAACCCAAATTGGTTCCTCTCTGCCAGAAGAGGTTTGATTTTAACATATGTGGAAAAGGCCAAAACTGCACATAATCTAAATTAGCACTGACTTTAATTCAAGAACTCAAAACAGTTATGTAGGAACTTTTGGATTTAGCTTTCATAGTACACCTTTTCCTTCATTCATCTCATCTTTGTCTCTTCATGGAGCATTTCAGTGGAACCTTCTAGTTATACTTCTAGTTTCCTGCTCTTAGGCTCTGTTCATTTACTCACTATTCAGCTGTTCCACATAATTTAATTTGACTTGTTTATTTCCACAATGACACTCTTCTTTCCTAAAGACTTTGCCATACACAAGTAACAGGCATTAGCTTCTCTGTGCCATTGCGGAATCCTTACTATTTATAGATATCTCTTTATTTTTGATCTGTGAAATGTATTTTTTGGTTTTCAAGTATTAGCATTTTTAATATTATTTTTATACAACAAAATTTGGGTTGGTGGTTAATAGACCTGGAGACAGGGGGTCAATCTTCAAAGCCAAGATATGCTATTATTTTCCTTATATGTAATAATAAGGATAAAACTACTTCTAGGTCTTGTGAGGATCGGACAAGATGATATATGTCAAAATGCTTGGCAGTAGCAAGTGCTTAGTAAATATTAGCTACTGTTGGTTGTAGAGTGGTGGCGTAGTACCATAGCTACTGCTGTGCAACTAGTGAGAATTTCGTCATGCGTTTTAAATTGGCCGTATTATCCCAGCAATCTCTTGTATAGCTTTTAAGATCGAAAACTGAATATAACAGACTTAAATGACTTATGAGTTCCTTTTTCTTTTCTACAGCTTGATCCTGAATTGGAAAAAAAACTGAAAATGAGTAAGATATCTTTAGAGTCAGAGTATGAGGTATGGTATTGTAATAGTCTGTTTTTAACAGTTTTACGAGTCATGATGGGTCTGTCAGCCTTAAGATAAATTATTAGTGTAGAAAAAAATATTTATTTTGAATATAGTATTTGGAAAACTGCAGCTTAAGTATCTTTTACCCGAAATACTTGGAACCAGAAGTGCTTCAGATTTTGAAGTTTTTTCAGATAAACTTTATCTGAAAAACTTTATCCAAATCTAAAATGCTCTAAAGTCTTGGGGGGGGTTGTTTTTGTTTTGTTGTTGGTTTTTATTTATTTATTTTTGTGATGCCATGAATTGAATGCATAGCCTCATGCATTCTAGGTAAGTGCTCTAACTCTGAACTATACTCCCAGACTAAGATCTCAAAAATTTTAGTGTCATAAAGCACCCAGAATGTTTATGATTTCTGAGCATGTCATATTTCAGATGGTGGATTTAGGGGTGCTCAGCCTGTATATAATTATTTGAAAACAAAATAAAGATGGGTCCTATTTTCATATACTACAAATAATTCTACATAGGTTAAGCACTTAAAAATAAACAAAATGTTAAAAGTACTAGGAGGAAAAAATGCAAATTTTTTATGGTATTAAGATAGAAAACTGTTAAATATGATACAAAACCCAGAAGCTGTAAAATTGAAGATAGATGAGTTCATACATAAGCTAAATAAGAATTTCCCTAAATATTTATCTTATCATGGCTATTTATTTAAACATGAAGAACACTTGCAAATCATTATGAAGAAGTGTAACAACTTAGTAAGAACATGGGCAAAGCATGTGAAGAGTTAGGGGAAAGAAAGTAAGTATCATTCTTAAACATATAAAGAGATGCTCAACAAATCATAGTAAGAATGTCAAAGTTATAATGAGTTGTCATACTTCACTTTCTGCTTGTTTGATTAGCAAAAATTAAAAAGTTGAATAGCATATTGTGTTTTGGGATGTGGGGAAGTATGTAAACTCAGTTTGTTGTGTGTGTGTCTGTATGTTTTCCCATAATGGGATTGAACATGGGGTCTCAGTGTTTGCTAGGAAGCACTCTACTACCTGAGCCATGCCCCCAGTCTTTTTGCTTTTAGTTTGGTTTTTCAGATAGGTCTTAAATTAATTTTGCCCAGACTGGTGTTGAACCACAATTCTTTTACTTCCACCTCTTGAGTAGCTGGGGTTACAGACATGTGCCACCATGCCCAGCCTGGTTTGTTCATTTTCTAATTGGATCCTATTTACTTGTTTCTTTGTATGTCTGATCATTTTTTATTGAAAGGTGGACATGACCAATAATACATTGAAGAGTTTCTGAAGATGTTGATTTTCATTTTACCAGGCAGTTTATCAGTTGATCTTTTTGAACTTTGTTTTTGCTTTGTAAGGGAGAATCTGTAGAGAAGCTGTGGCATTTCCTTTGTGCCTATAACTTGGTGGAGTTCATTCTCCAAACTGTCTCCCCAGAGGAGCTTGTCAGGGCTTGGTTTTAAATGTTGGGGTGAGTCTAAAACAGGCCTATTCTTGAACATAATTCCTACTGGTGTCTTAGATGGATATCAAGGTCTTAGCAGGATATTAAGCAGAGGGCTCCACTCTGGCAGGGCTCAAAATCCAATATTCCTGACATTGCTTTTCCTCAGCATTTCTTGAGAGTATTCTTCATTCCATCATCTGGTAATTGGCTGTTAAGTCCTTAGTGGTCTCTCCTGTCATTCAGCCACTCTGCGTGTTTTGCAGAATTTCTACAAGGAACTTTTCTTGTAAAAGATCTCTAAAGACTGGGCACTTTCACATGAGCTTTTTATGTTACCCTTGCATCTCATCTAAGAATGGTTTTAAATTCTCTCAAGCATGTATATCTTACTTTATCTAGATAATGGCTATCACTCTGTTAAAGCCCTTTGATCATTTCAAAACCATACTGAAAATACCCTCTTCTTGCATACTAAATTAATAAAATTTTGTTCTTCCATATATATTTAATACAGATTCCTGTTTTTTATTTTAAAGTGTTTCTTCACTGCTTTCCTATTATTTAGTAAAAAAACGTTGCTACTTTAGGATATATAAGTAGCATGCTAGTAGTGATGCTGAGAAGGGTTTGTCTGTCTGGGAGTAGATTTTCCTTCTTGTTCCTTCAGAAACCATCTAGAATACTTGGTCCCACCTTTTCATGATTACTTATGAGGGCATTAATGCCCAGCTGGTTTAAAATCACTTGCTAAAGATTATACAGCTACTTAGTAAAAGTAATGGTTAGTATCCAAATGACAAGGTAAATGTATCATTTTCCCTGTCTTTGGATATAAATTATCCTGTGTTCTCTCAGCCTCTTTTTCTTTGCTATTGTATTCAATTATTCCAGAACAATCAAAGCAGCAGATGTACAAAAGTGTCTGTCAGAGTGGTGATCAGTAAAAGGATGAAGAAACATTTCTGTTCTTCCCTTGTGCTTAAGAGACACTTCAGAGTAAGTGAAGGTAGAATGATCCAAACTGTAATTGAATCTAGTTTTGATTGCCAAATAGGGTTTTGCTCATGGTAGCTGTGGAGAAAGTTTTTTCATTCTTCTTCCTTATTTTATTTATTTATTTATTTTAGCTTTTGAGGTACTGGGGTTTGAACTCAGGGCTTCATGCTGCTAGGTACTCTGTCTTTTCATTCTTTACCCTGGGCTCATTTCTCAGGTGCAACACAAATCCCCTTGGTCCCTTTTCTTTCTTTTGGAAGACTTTAGGGTCTCCACTTTTGTTCTTATTTTCTACCATCACCCATACTAGTCATTATTATGCTAGATCAGCCTTCACATTTACACTTGTTTATGCTTTCGGAAATAAGGTGTGTGGATTCTTTTTCTATTATTATGGGTGAAAAGATAGGCATTAACATCAATAGCAGGCAAGAAAAGTTTCTAAATCCTAAGAAATACAACATTGTTTTTTATTTATTGTGCTTGGTTTACATTTGATTTATTTGCTGAAATTGTAACTGCGGGCTTATTGGGTTCTTTCTTTTCACTTGTTATTCATTCAATGATGTTCTAAGCAAAACCACAGGGCTCCTATACTAATATGAATACTTTATAACTTTTGTGGTTCTATAGAAGATAAAGGACTCCACTTTTGAAGACTGGAAGAATATTAGAGGCCCAAGGCCTTGGGAAGATCCTGATCTCCTCCAAGGACGAAATCCAGAAATCCTTAAGACTAAAACAACCTGACTATGCTCTTTTTTTTTTTTTTTTTTAAATAAAATGTTACCAGTTTGACATACTTCTAGTCCAATGGAAAGAAATTTCCAGACCTGCAGAAACCTGGATAATTGATGACAAATAATCTTGATTAAAAAGTCAACTGCAAGTCTTTATGCTTTCCAGCTAGTCCACTCTCAAATGAAAGTAGCAGTGTTAACCACATATATACACCTTTTGATAAAAATGTGACTATTGCTACCCAAGTGTGTCATGCATTCCTACTCTCCAGTGGGCCACTCATACTCCTTTTTTTTTGGCATCCCTGGGTGGGCTCGGACCATATTCCTTTTCCACAACCACTAAGACATTTTGCTACTTCATTCTATTTATTTATTTATTTATTTGGCAGTACTGGGGTTTGAACTCAAGGCCTCACACTTGCTAAGCATTTGCTCTGCCATTTGAGCCACTCTGCCAGCCCTGCTACTTCATTCTGATTCTTAAAGAGAATAGTAGGCCTAGATCCAAATTCCCACAGCAAAATGTTAAACCTATACAAGAAAGTACAAGAAAGTAATAGTGATTACAATCTAATAACAGTCTTGGTTTTATTTATGATGCCTGGTATAGTTTGCTAATCAGTCTCCAAAGCATCACTTGATTATTTTGACACTAGTAAATATGTCAAATAAATTATGTAACTCCCAGCTGGGTGCCAATGTCTTACACCCGTAATCCTAGCTACTCAGGAGGCAGAAATCAGGAGGATCACTGTTCGACGCCAGCCCCAGGCAAATAAGTTTGCAAGAGAATCTATCTCGAAAATACCAATCACAAAAAAAGGGCTAGTGGGGTGGCTCAAGGTGTAGGCCATGAGTTCAAACCCTAGCACTACAAAAAAAAAAAAAGTATGTAACTCCCAGTTGAGTCGTAGTAGTACATGAAATGGCAGATTTGTTGAGGCAAGCCAGATATGACTATGATATGGGAGACACCAAGTTAATGTATCCTTTATACCTTAGCATAATTTGTATGCAAATTGACCTTTCTTTCTTTTTTTACTTAGGTTTGCTAGAATCTGATCACTAAGCAAAGGACAGGGAAGTTCATTTTTTGAATTCCTTTTCATCCCTGTCTTAGTCAATCTTGATTCCCTACCTCCTGGTATTTCCATACCGAGTTGTAAATACTGCCACTGTAACTACCCAAAAAGAGATCACAAATCCACCCCACCTTTTCCCAAATCAAGATTTGTATTCTTTTTGGCAAACTAGTTTAGTAAAATGCAGAGGAAGCTCGTTGTCTATTGGTGATAATTTGTGGTAAATGTGGCTTGTAAGACTTATCTGGAGGAGTAATTGAATTTCATAGGGGAAAAAGAAGAGCTTCCACCTAAACCTCACTTCTTTGAAAAGCAGATCGTTGATGTAAATGTAAAACAGAACTATAAAAATGTGAAGGAAAAAACCAGGAGAAAGTCACTTAATAGTGAATAATTCTTGATGAACACATCTTACCAAAAAATGTTAATGAAAGAAAAACTTAGTCTGAACATGGTGGGTCACACATGTAATCCTGGCTACTTTGAAGGCAGACATAGTTTGAGGGCAGCCTAGGCAAAAAAAAAAAAAAAAAAAACAAGACCCTATCTCAAAAAATGACCGTGGCATGGTGGTACACATCTATAATCCCAGCCACAATGGATGATGGAGGTAGGGGGATCATGATATAAGGCCAGCCCTATCAAAAGCTTGAGGCCCAATCTGAAAAATAAAAGCAAAAAGGGCTGGTGGCATGTCTCAAGTAGTAGAGTGTGTGCTTATAAAACATGAGGCCCTGAGTTCAAACCCCTCCCCAGTACTGCCAAAAAAGGGCAAGAATTGATAAATTGACCTCATCCTCATCAAAATCACAAACTTTTTCTCCCTAAAGACTATTAAAAAGATAGGGAGGAAACCTATAGACTGGGGAAATATTGCAAAATAGATGTCTGGCAAAAGACTCAGATTTAGAATATGTAAAGAAATCTGAAAACTCAACAGTAAAAAACAAATCCAATTAGGAAATGAGCAAAAACAGTTTTCACTGGAAATGATTGGTGGATGGCATGTAAGCACATAAGAAGAATATTTGTCATCTCTAGCCATTAGGGAAATTTTAATTAGGCCACATTGAAATATAACTACATACCTGTTAGAACCGTTTAAAAAATTACCAAGTGCTGGCAAGGATGTGGAGAAACTACATCTCTCATACATTGCTTGTGTCATGATAAATGGTACAACCAGTTTGGAAAATTGGCAGTTTCTTCAAAAGCAACATAAGGGATTTCTGGCTTCCAGCTTGACATGTAACAAAGAAGCTGAAAAAAGTAAAAACCAACACTTTGATCCATCAGAGAGTTAAAGTCACAGGACAAACTACCAACCTGAAAACTGAAGACATAGGCAGAAAGTCTGTTTACCTGGAGGAGAATCTACCCAGAAACCACCACAAGAGCTAGCATCAGGTAGAAATATTCAAGGGATAATTGACTAATTGCTGGAAACCAAGCAGACTAACTTCAGAGAAATACTTGAGAGCCAGGTCTCAAAGATGTGGGCCAAAGAAGGTATACTTTTGTTAAGTTTCACCCTTGGGAGTCCCACTGAATATTAGAGTTAAAAAAAAATAGAAGTAGGGAAAAGTAACCATTCTGAAAAAAAACCCAGAGAACTCAGCTTTCCTTAACAAAATTCTGTTCTCAAAAGAGCTACAACCTGATCACGTTGGGTTTCACCAGAGCCTACCCAATTGAAAAAAGGGAAATACTCAACTTCAACCCACTCCAACTTTCCTGTTTCACATAAAGGGCGATTAGATATAGGGAAGAAACACTTGTGAAAGAGAGTCCAGGAGCCTAGTTTCACTAAAAGACCTAATCATAGGACTATATAATGTTCCTTATCTTCATTACCACCACATCACTAACAGGCTTGTTTGCTGCAATTTCTTTTGCTCAGAATATCATATCCAACATCCAACACAAAGGAAAGACAACAACAAAAATGAAGAGATGAGCATCACACATCACAACCAGACTCAGATAGATATAACAAAGATGTTGGAATTATCGGATTGGGAATTTAAAATAAATATGACTAATGGAGAAAGCATACAACGTGCAAGAAGAGATGGGTAATAAAAGCAGAGAAATGGAGGAAATAAAAAAAATTCTAAAACTGCAAAGTTAACAGAAGAAGAATGCCTTTGATGGGATCATCAATAGAATGGACGTGAGTGGGGGAAGTAGCAATAGAAACAGAAAAATAGATATGTCATACTAACGGTAATCGAAAGATTTTAATTCTCACAAAGACTTCAGAGCAAGGAAAAGGATCATAGATGAGGAGGGGCATTGTGTAATGATAAAGAGGCTCGTTCTCCAAGAAGATAAAATCCTCAATGTGTATGTGCCTAACACTGAAGCAGCAAAATACTCCTGGAAAAAAACTGATAGAACTACAAAAAAAAAAAACTAGATGAAGTAGAAACCAACTGTTACAGTTGGAAACTTACATGATCCTCTATCTGTAATTGATTAATTCAGAGGCAGAAAATCATTAGGGACCTAGGTTAACTGAAGAACACCATCAATCAACTGGAATTAACTGACATTTGTAGGATACTTCATCTAAAAATAGTAGAATAAACATTCTCAAGCTCTCCCTGAACATTCACCTGGACAGGCAACTATGAAACACCCTAACAAAGATAAAGAAATATGCCCTCAGACCACTGTGGAAATAAACTAGAAGTCAATGACCAAAAGATAGAGAAAAATAATACATTAAGTAATACTCTTCTAAATAACAAGAAGGCTAAACAGAAATTTTAAATATTTTGTAAAAAATGCAATTGAAAACATGACTTTTCAAAGTTTGGTGCAATAATAGCTTCTTTGAGAGAAGTTTATAGATCTGAATATATATATATATGTATGTATGTATATAGAAGAAAGGAAAAATCTAGTAAGTTTCTACTGAATGGGAACAAATTACATCCCAAGAAACCAGAAAACAAATAATGAAAATCAGAACAAGTGAAAACAAGAAATCAGTAGAGAAACTTAAGTAAACCAAGGGTGATGGAGTTGCTGAAGTGGCAGAGCACCTGCCTAGTAAGTGTGAGACCCTGAGATCAAACCTCAGGATCACTCCCCACCAAAAAAAAGCATCAAGTAAATAAAAAACTGGTTCTTTGAAAAGATCAATAAGTTAATAAACCTCTACCCAAACCAAGAAACAAGAGAAGACAAATTACTAATATGAAATTTGAAAGGACTATCACTACAGACCCCGTAAACATTAAAAGGGTAATAATAGGAATACTCTGAACAATGCTGTGTTCATAAGTTTGACAACCTACAGAAAGTGGATAAATTTCTTAAAAGACAAAAGGTTACTACCAAAACATACACAAGAGGAAAAATAAATAATCTGAATAGGTCCATATTAAGTTAAAGCAATAACCTTCTAAAACAGATCCATATTTATTAAGTTAAATAAGTCAATAATCTTTTAAAACAGTATTAGGCCTAGACAGGTTCACTGGTGAAGTCTACCAAACACTTAAGAAGAAATTATGCTAATTTCCTACAATCCTTTTGAAAAGATAAAAGCAGAGGAAATACTTCCTAACTTTTTCTGAGGGCTTGCCCTGATACCAAAAACAGACAAAGGAATAACAGGAAAGGAAAGCTATAGTCCAATACCTTTCGTGAACATAGATGTGAAAATTTTCAACAAAATATTAGCAACTCAGATCCAACAATGTACAAAAATGATTGTATGCCACTTTCAATTGAGATTTATTTCTGATTTTCAAGGCTGCTCCAATATTTAAAGAGCAGTATAATTAAGCTAGCATGGTGGTGGACTACTGTAATCCCACCTTCTCAGAAGACAGAGTCAAGAGGATCATGAGTTGGAAAACAGCACAAAGGAAGACCCTATCAAACAAAATAAAATCAAAAGGGCTAAGGGCGTGA